CCTAATCCTTCCACGTCACCAGGTGCCCATTTTGAATGTTTTCTTTATAATCTGTGTTCCCCACCTTTCACAGCATGTTTAAATGCCTATTCACATATCTATTTCTCTTTCAGACTAGTGGGTCTTACACTCTTTGGAACACAGTTGCCCCAGAGATACGGCGAAAGCTATTGACCCGCTCGCTACCCATCAGAGTGCAGACACACACCGTACTCTCCATGGAGCCCACATCAGGATGCCAGCTCCTTAAAAGCAGGCACAGTGTGCACTCAGCACGTGGCCCAGTGTCCTTTGGTAAGCACTAAAAATATATATATCTGCCCTGGCTGGTGTTGTAGCAGGATAGTAAGAAGCCAGGAAAATCCCTGGGCAAGTGGAATGGGGAAACTGAGACAAGAAAATTATACAAGGCCAAATAGTTTGGGCAGCTTGCAGCCAGCCTGTGAACTGCAAGACCTTATCTTCCCTAACCAAGGACACTTAAGAGCAAGTGTCCTCCCTAATCAGAGACTACATTGCTTAAATCACCCTGGCCTGGAAAAATAGAGAACAAAGACCCAATTAATGCCATTTGTTCCAACTAAACCCAAGGACAGATGAAGCTGGGGAACAAATAACAAAAATCCCATTAAAGCCAGACAGGCCTAAGATAAAAGTAAAACAGTAAACCATACCAAAGAATTACCCCAAACTCCCCTATACACTTATTTTAATGCATCAGCATACTTTAAAATGCACCTGGAAAGCTGATAAATATTCTACTGAAACCTTCCCCTAAGATTCTCTCTTGCAGAGAAAAAAAATGGATAAAAAGCCCTCAGGACAGACTCAATGCAGGCTCACTCTAGAGCCCGCCCATGCTCTGTCCTGGGCATGAACTTTTTATTTCTTCCTAATTTCTAAGGGTCCCCATGAGACTTGCAGCCAGGGGAGCAGTAGGCAGAGGCAGCTCAACCTAGGCTCACCCCCTGATCCTGTCTCCAAGACCCCCTTTTTCTCTGACTTCCCTGTGAGCTAATGGCAGCCCTGCCTTGGCTCACTTCTTTCCTATAACATTTCTAGAGAACCAAAGCAGAGCACTGTCCAGGCTCTCCCCTGTTGTTTCTTCTACCCTAATTTATTCCTTTGTTTCATTGTCCCCAGCATCAACAAACATACTCTCAAATCCATCTGGACTTGTGTTGCGATATCTTTCCTACACGAAGTCAAGGATCCACACACTACAGGCTGGCCTGAGTAACCGTGTGGCTTCATTGGGCCAGTATCCTCCTGTGCACTGAAAGGTTGCCAGTTCGATTCCCAGTCAGGGCACATGCTCAGGTTGCAGGGTTGATCTGTGGTTGGGGTGCATACAGGAGGCAACCAATCGATGTTTCTCTCTGGCATGGATGTTTCTCTCTCTCCCTCTCCCTTCTCTCTCTCTCAAATCAATAAAAATAAATAAACAGAAAAATAGCAGAAAAAAGTGTATCAAATGCATACCCATGTTTACTACAACTAATACACACAGAAAGATAAAGCACCCATGGCTAAACATATATTTAGTTTGAAATTTATAGCCCTCAAGTTACCTAAAGAAAACCTAAGACTAGAGAATAATTCAGGGGCTTCAGTAAATAATTTGAAAATTAACCCAATACCTAGGTTAACTATGTATACCCAAACAAATTCTATCTGTTGGTGCAAAACCCCTGGCCTTGGTTTCTTTATTTGGAAAAATTAATTTGCTAGGTTTATGACCATAGCATGGTTTGCTGCAATAAAAAAAAACTTGGTTGGGCGTCATCCATGAGCCGAAAGGTTGACGGATCTCGGTCTTGGCACATGCCCAAGTTTCAGGCTTGATCCCTGGTAGGAAGCATGCAGGAGACAGCCAACAGACATTGGGCTCTCACATAAATGTTTCTGTCTCTCCCCCCTCCCCTCCTCTCTCTCTAAAAAAGTCAATAAAAATGTTTTTTGAAAAACAGCTTTATGGCTCAGCAGTTGAGCATCAACCTATGATCCAGGAGATCATAGTTCAATTCCTAGTCAGGACACATGCCCCAGTAGAGGACTGGATCTCGATCCCTGGGGGGATGCGTGCAGGACGCAGCCAATCAATGACCTTTTCTCATCATTCCCGTTCGTTCCCTTTCTCTTTCTGAAATCAATAAAGATATTTTTTAAAAAAACAAAAAAAACACAACAGTTTTATAACATGAATATGTAGTTTAAACTCAAAACCCACAAGTTCAGTTTTTCAGAAAAAGAAACTAAACAAAGCAGTGCCACTTTGAACACAAATTGCAAAGATTCTTTCCATTTGTTATGACCATGACAAGTGAGGTAAATACTGTCTTGCCCTGCTTGGTGTCCTGCCACAAACACAAAAAAACAATGTGTGAATTCTGATTACATTGGTTCTATTTATGATTCCAGAAAATTCCTCTCAACCCTTCATCAATAACATGTGTGCTCTGAATGAAATGCAGCTTAAGTCTCTTCTCCCTTCTCCATTTCTAAGACCACTGCCCTAGTTCAAATCCTCATGACATCTTACTTAGGTCATTTCCATAACCCCACCTCCCTGCTATCTCTTCTTTCACACTTCTACAGGCCGTCCAGTAGGCTATTGCTGGGGTATCTTTAAAAAAAGGAAAGAGAACATTTCTAATTTCACAAATGACATTGCTCAAAGTTATTCAATGGTCCACTGTTTACAGAAGGAAAAAAACAGCAATACACTCACCTCTATCGACCTAACCTGGTCACTGTTCCCTGAATGCTTTTTCCCCACATGTCTACATGGCTCCACCTATCACATCCTTCAGGTCTTTGCTGGTAAATCACCTACTTAGCTGATTCCCCTTATCACCCCATGAAAAACAGCACATCTTGCCCATCACTCTCTGTTCTCTTATCCCACTTTATTTATTTTTCTTTTCAGCACTTACCATTACCTGGTGTTTTCTGCATCTGTTCATTTCTTTATTGTCTCTCACCATTAGAAGGCATGTTCCATGAGTGCACAGACTTAACGAAACATTTTGTTCAATGCTCCATCCCCAGCACCCAGAATAATTACTTGGTTCATTCATAATAGGCCCTCGATAAGTTGTTATTGAATAAATGAATGAACCTCTGAACTAGTCTACCTGTATTCTTTTTCTCACAGTAATTCCTCAGACAAGAATATTCTGTTTTTCCTATGCTACTCGACAAAACTCACATCCATATTTCAAGTCCCAGCTCTTTAATGTGAGGCACTCTTTCTCCGTGCTCCCACCATACTTGGGGCCTCTCCTGGGCAAAAGACACTTATACTATTTTACTCTATAAAATTGGGTATATAAGGGAAGACGACCTCTTCTCCACTACTGCTGTTTCCTTCTGTGTGGACTGGAGATCCATCGGTATTAGTAAAGAGGCCCTTTTCTGGCCCTTGACTCCCTTTCCCTGTAGCAGTGAGCTCACTCAGCTGACTGGTAATTTGGGGAGGCTGCTTTCAGATCTCTCAGGCTGCCTCTGAGGAGTGAGGGGTCTACAGAGAGCAGAGGTCCTCTCCTCAGGCCTGACTCCCCTGGTGGGCAAGTGCCTGGTTCTGGGGTTTGATCAGAAAGTCCACTACCTCTCTCACACTAAGCTCCATACTCCAACGGAGCACTTATCAGCAATAAAGACTGACTCTTCTTTTATCTCTCACTTTTCAGAACTTGTAGAGTAGAAAGGGGAGAACACTGTCATTTATAACGTTTCATCAGATCTCTCAAGGTGTGAACCATAGCACCCACCTGCACAAGATTTTAATACTTAGAAAACTGAGTTAAACTGAGTTGCTTTTTAAATACAGACATGGATTTACATCCTGAACAGTCCTCTCTCGCCTGTGAGCAATAGCCAGCATCTACAGGAGATCCGATAGAACAGAGATGGGGTCATTTTTAACACCACAGACGCTTCTCTCGGTCGTGTTAACTGCAGGACTGGATCACAGAACCTAACTTCATTCGCATGATATTCTAATGAACTACTGAGCGCAATAAACACTTGGCAACTAAAAATGAAGTTCATGAAGAAAACATGTCTGGTGTGAATTTCACAGCCTCCAGCATTCACAGGGCACGTTCACTTGTGCATTTCAAACTGTGGTGAGTGGAGAATGCTGGGCACTTCGTTAGAAATGCTTGTTAAGTTAACATGCTTTTTAAAATAAAAATGTTCTCTCCTGGCCGACAAAGTGACCCACCTGAATCACACTGATGCTTTCACAAAACCCCCCAAATCCCTGATTTTGTAAACAGTCTCAGAGTGATCAGCGTCACCCCTGCCGTCTCAGCCGGCCCGGGTCGCTGCGGTCGCCCAGCGCTCAGGTCACACCGAGGTCCAGGGGCGGGCTGGGCTTCCCGGGTAAGACAGAAGCAAAGTGCCCACGGGCGGCCCCACCAGGAGGAAACAGGGGGGAAAAGAAAGAAACCTGCTCACCTGAAAACACGTCAAGTCTGGCAGCCCCCGCGTCTCTGGAAATACAAACATATCGTTGCTTCAATGTGCAATTGTTT